CTGAGAAATGTCTCTTCATTTCAGATGCACATTTTTGAATCAGGTCTTTATATTTGGGGGAGGGCTCACTGTATTGAGTTCTTTATATTTTCTAGATAATAGTCCTTTGTCTGAGGAGCAGCTGGTAAAAATTTTTGCCCACATTGTGGGTTGTCTCTTAGTTGTGCTGATGGTTTCTTTTGTAGTGCAGAAGCTTTTTAATAAGATGAGATCCCAGTTGTTGATTCTTTCTGCTAGTTTCTATGCTACTGAGGATTTGTTCATAAAGTCTTTTCCTATGCCAATGTCTTCAAGAGTTCTGCCTAACTTATCTTCTAGTGTCCTAGTCTCATATATTGTCCTCACATGTATGTGTGCTCAATACTTGGTTCTTTTTTCTAGAAATAGTTCTTCATGCATTTCTCCCCTTTGTTTTTGTATTCTATCATTCTTGCTCTCTTTGAACTCACTTCCACCTTCTCCACTTAGTAGACTCATTTATATCCTGTCTCTTGAGAACAACCATTTTTTGATTGTTGATATCCATTCTTGAAAGCAGATATTATAATATTTTGTGTGGTTTTGTTGTTGTTTCAAGAAATACAGTAAATCCAGTCTTTATTACTTTATATTAGCAGACAATTTCCATATGTTATCTTACTAAAGCTTAAGTAGAGATGTTATTTGTTAGGTATTATTTGTAATAATCACCCCCTTCAAAAAAGTACATGAACAAATTGAAAGTTAGAAAGACCCAGTAATGGTTAAGCCTACAGGTTTTTTGGGGTAAATTTTCTGGATCTAAATCCAGTGCTTTTCATGTGGCTGTCTGCCTTGCAATGGATTCAAAATGTTTCTCAGGTATTTCTTTTTGTTTATTTTAAACATATTTAACATATATTAGGTTTAAATTCTAGTCTTTAGGAGTTCAGAAAAAATGTTATTTTTTAATCAGTGGCTTTCTTGTCAGATTTCTCTGAGTATTTTGAGATGAATATTCATCATGGAAACCTGCATGCATCAGACATTTGTATGGATAATTATTCTTATCTCTTAAACTTTGTTATTCAAATAAGAGATGTACCAGATTATTACTTTCAGAACTTTCTATCTGGGGTCATGATGTGGCTCTTTCAAACCTCCTTAAAGCTGGAGAATCATTTTTTTCCCTGTCAGTGGAAAGCATCAAAATATAAATAACTTGCACTGGGGATTTAGCTCAGTGGCACCACACCACACTTGCCTTGCCAAGTTCAAGGTCCTGAGTTCAATCCCTGGTACCAAAAAAAAAAAAAGTGTGTGTGTGTGTGTGTGTGTGTGTGTGTGTGTGTATGATTATGTGTATATATACGAGTATGTACATATATGATTATGTATATATATATATATGATTATGTGGTTGTATTTAACTAGTATAATAGTCAAATACAATTACATAAAATTTCATTTATCTTAATTCTTAGATGCTGTAAGGACACAAATTGATTTTTTGCTCAGATGTCACTACATACACTAGAATAATGAATCATATTTCTTCTTTAGTATGTCTTGTTAATATTGTCCTAACACAGTCTTTTCTGAACTATGCTGCAAATCAGTATTGTACAAAAAAGATGAGTTCATACTCAAATAACAAAATGTTAAAACTGTCTTAGAAAGGTGTTTAAATTCCTTTATAGCTGTGTGACATTTTCAAACACATGTACAGTGAGTCTCTAAATATGATTAGAGAATAATTTCCAATAAATATAAATTCAGAATAGTTTTATGCATACTGGATTAAGGTTCTTTGCCAAAATAATCTTGAAGCTTTTCCTGAAGGGCAAGGGTGGAAGTTAGTTTATTTATTTTATGCCTTTACCATATTATTTCTATAGTTTAGCAACTCCTACTCAGGTAATTATTTCTTCTTAATGACTGTTTTCATGTTTCCAGCAGTATTATATTTTCATTTTGAGCGATAATCAAGTGTTCTGAAGAATGAAAATACCACTAAGAACATTTTAAAAGATGGCAGAACATGAAATTCCAATGAATTAATAAACAACAGTCCCTTAAATCCTTCAAAACCTAATGGGACATATTCATCAAAAAGTATATGGATAATTCTAGCTGAACTCTTATTATAAGAGAAAGCGGGGCTGAGGATTCAGCTCAGTGGTTTGACGCCTGCCTTGCAAGCACAAGGACCCAAGTTCAATCTCCTGTACCAAAAACAAACAAACAAACAAACAAACAAAAAATCCCTTTCCAAATCTCTGGTAGCATTTAGAAATTTATTTAGGGCTGGGGATTTAGCTTAGTGGTTTGGTGACCTGCCTTGCAAGCGCAAGGATCCTAGTTCAATCCCCGGTACCCCCCCCCAAAAAAAATACCGAGAAAGGGAAGCACTTTCCAAATTAGTAAATCGATTTTTGAATACAGAAAGTCCTTAAAATGTCAGAAAATTTCATAGTAATAGTATTTGTACTTTTAGTAACTATGAATTTTAAAGCATAAAAAGCACTAAACTGCTGTCATTTCAGTAATTATTAACACTGCATAATCTTTACCAGTAACAGTTTGTACATACACACCAGAATTATAAGGGGTAATTCATTCCAGTGACAAAATCAGTCACATAAGGACTATAGATGGAGGCAGCAAATCTACAATAACCCATGAGGAGCCAGTCCATAGATTAAGAGCTACTGCCTTACTCCTCCAATCACAGTAAAGTTACCCAGATCTGACAGAAGAACTAAAATCTAATTGATTTAACACTTATCAAATGTTTGCTTTAGATTCAGAGCAATATATATATACACATATATATATATATATACACACATATATGTGATACTTTGCTCAAGAAATTTGTATATATTGATTGATTAACTTGTTTAATTACTTGTTAGTACTTTTGACATTTCGTGAGTTCAGAATGTTCTTTGTCTTTATTTCTTATTAATACATGTTTGCAATACATAATAATTACATTCATTTTGGATATATTTATTTAATTTCCCTCTCTGCCACATCTTTCCCAGATTCTTCAAATCGCTAAAAATCTTTCTTCCTGTTTCCTACAATCTTTTATTTGCTCTTTATTTATATTTTAGGTTTGCCATATGAGAGAAATTATGCAATATTTAGCTTCTTCTATTTAACTAATTTTACTTAGCATTATCATCTCAAGATCCATCCATTTTTCTCCAAATGACTCAAGTTAATTTTTCTTTTTGGCTGCACAATAGTCTATTGTGTATATACCATATTTTCTTTATCCATTTATCTGTTGATGGGTATATAGTCACTTCCATTATTTAGCTGTTGTAAGTTGTACCGTAAGAAGTTTTATATGTATCACTGATATGAAGACTTTAAATCTTTTGGGAAAATATCCAGAAGAGGAATAGTTGGACCAAATGAGGTTTCTATTTTTGATTTTTTGAGGAATGTCCATGCTAATTTCCATAGTGGTTGTGCTACTTTACATCCCCTTAACAATGTAGAACAATGTGTTTTCCTCGCAACCTTGTCACCATTTATTGTTCTTTTGAGTCCTTGATGATAGCCATTCTTACTGGGGTAATATTTCCCAAAACTTAAGAAAAGCAAGAAGTTTGTCCTTCTGAGATTGGGCAGATATGTGAAAAATATAAAATTAGATACAAAAATTAAAAGTATGAAACATACATGACAGTGGTATTTGTTCTTACATATTTTTTCTTGAAAAATAAAAAAAACAAACATTGAAATATCTTAAGATGAGAAAATAGCTGTGCTGGCACACTATGCTTAAGTGGATATCACTGACATTCATTTTCTATTCTTGCATCCATTTTCTTTCCACCTATCCAAATAATACTGATATATAGTTGACAACTCTTTATTTTACCAAGCAACAACGTTCAAAAGCAATCATGAGTAGTCATTTGCTATTTCTGTCATTACCTAAAATTGAAAAACATGGGATAGACATGACCTTCAGGAGAGTGCTTATGAATTCACTGTTTTCCTCATTTTGATGTTTATATGAGATAACCTGTCTATAGGCTGGAAATGGTCCTTGGGCCAGGGTTATACTCACACTACCCTAATTCACTTGGGTGTTCTAGCACCCTAGATTAAAGGCAATTATATCTTCATATAAAACATTCACTACTTTGTAAATGTATGTACATTCTTATCATACAATGTGGTATAAATCAATCTCAAGACTCATCAATTTTAACAAACCTTAACCTCCATAGAAATTGACATTGATACTTGCTCTATCTGGTTACTAGTGTTAAGACTATTTAAAAGTGTTTCAAACAATAGTGACCAGATCATTTTTTAAAACCCTTATCATATCATAACATCGAATTGTAATCTTTATTGGCATAACTATCTCCCTTTCTAAACACTAAGCTTATGAATGCCAGAACGAGTCTTGCCCTATTTTTTTACCCTTACTACCGAAGCAATATTTGGTACATTGTGAACCCTGATAAATAATTGTGGATGATTGAATTAATAGCTATGCTTTGGTTATGTTTCTTGAAACATCCTAATTATCATAACAAAATGCCTGATACTATTTTATGATTTATTAAGGGAGGTAGGAATTAGATTTGCCCTTCAACATTCTTTTATTCATTCTTCAGACATTTATGACACTTAAACAATGTACTTCCACTGTGCTGAGTGTTGAGATAATAGAGATGTATAGAAGGTAGACTCCCTGCCTTCAAGGATGCCAAGAATTACTGAATTTTGGAGCTCATGTGATCTTTTTAGCACAGGAGCTTACATAAATATATCCACTTTTTTGAATAATATAAATAGAAATAATCATTTTAAATCTCAAAAGTAAACACTTGCTCAGACATGTTTTTCTTAGTGGGAATAAAACCAGTTTATCACCTTTAAGTGGTAATATTCACGCTATGTAGGATTCCTCTTATCTAACAAATTACAGCCACTATCCCCATGACACAGGTTTCATAAATTGGAGCCTTAGCCTTACCCACTTTAAATGAAACAATAAATCTTACTATTGCAAGTCTTGTTGTATTTGCTGTTCTCCTGTGCAAACCCTTCCAGCCGACACTGAAAACGATGCTGCCAAAATTCTTGAAACCAAGGGTTCCGGAGATTTGTTTCTGGCCGTAATTTCAGATAATAATCATCAAACCACTTGACATCAGGAGATTGGAGCTTGATTGTGATTCCACCAACAGCTTCTTGCTGATATCCATCTGTCACATCATACCTATCAGCCCAGCCATCACTGTGGGAAACAAAGAGGCCTTAATTTAAAACAGAAATCTGAGTGAATGACTTCTCTTATTTTCTAGATTTGGTTTTAAAATATTAGTAATGAAATGGCTACTTCAGGTCACATGATGGTCCTGCATTATACCTTAATGATTGTTAAGATACCAGCCTGCTAAAATTAAAAAACAGTAACACAATAGAAACTGTGAGTCTCAGATTGCTAAAAAAAAATCAACCTTATCTTGAAATGCGGAGCATGACTTGGTGCTTTGGGTAGAATTTTACCAGTTGCAAAATACCATATATCAGTGATAGTGAACCTTTTAGGGCAGTGAACACTAAGAAAAGGCTGAGGGAAATGGTTTACATTATGTAGCACTCTTCATTGATGTGATCTTTTAATATATTTTTGTGCTTAACTTTCTTTTCTCTGATTGCGGGAGCATGATTCAATGTTAGGCATGTGAAACCAGGATTGGGGAAAGCATTATGTAAGTAATTAATTGATATAACACAGGCTTAAATATCACATGGTTTCTCTTGTATGAGAACCCTAAAGTATAAATTATAGAACAAAATAAAGACAGATAATAGAAAATGGGAAGATAAATCTTTTGCAAAGAAGAGGATCAAGAGATAGGGTGGGTAAAAAGAGGAAGGGAAGTGGATGTGAAAATAATTAAAATGTGTTACGTACATGCAATGAATGTAATCATGGAGTAATAAAATAGACAAAATAACACAAAAATGCATTTTTAAGCATGCTGTGTTATACCAACTTTGCATAAAAATTTGATAACTGGAAGTTGTTCCAATGCTTATAGATTACTTATCAAGGTATTACAAATGTGTGTCATAACTTGAGATATTTTCTAAGGGATCTGTGGGCTGATGAGGAGAAACAGACCAAATGAACCATTTCTTCTTTTAAGTTTCCTTGACAAGATAACTCATTCAACATTACCAGTGGTGAAATCTTAAAAACTTCTGACAGATTAAGACAGAAATAAAAGAAAAAGACAAAGTAATGCAATATGTTTTGTCCCAGTGTTTTATTTGGTTACTTCACACATCATCTTTCCTCAAGTTTTTCATTTTCAGCTCCAGAAGATTTTATTCAAATCTGACAAGCTGAAATGAAGCAGGCTTGTTTGCCTGGTTTCCTCCCTCCGTTGTGGAAGGTTTATTATGTCACCAATGGATAGGAGAGTGTGGGTCTCACTGGCACTCTAGTAGATGCATGGGCGTGTTGCAAATGGGGCAGGAAGCTCTGTTTGTCAAGCACCATTCTCCAAGAAAGCGGGTATTTAAATTGTTCCTTTTGTTAACATTTGTTCACTCTTATGTAATGCTATGATTATGAATATTACATAAGAAATGTAAGATTATAATAGGTTCAATTTACCCTTCATAATTCATTCACTGAATTTTCTGGGGGTTGTAAAAAAGCTTGTCTTCATAAATTTTCTTGCAGGGGGTATATACATAAAAGAAAATTGTCATGACCAGAGATTACTTTACACATCTATCGGCATACTTTTTCTCTAATTGTGTTTTTTCCAGTTATAAATCTATTCAATTTAAGAAATTATAAAAGATGGTATTGTACCATTAATATTATGATTTCAGGTTGTGAGTTTAAAATGATTCGTGTTCCAGATAGTTCCAGTCAAGAGGAAAATAAAAATTATAAAGGAGTTACAGTAGAAATTGGAAATACCAACTTACATGTGACAAAACAGTGTTATTTATTTAAATGTAATGAGGTAAGTCCAGAGAAAAGTCATTTCATTCGGCTAAATTAAAAGACGCTGTGTTGCCTCAGGTTATTAGTTATTAATGTTTTTATAAACATGTGCTTTTAAAATTTGTTGAAGATAGTCAAACATCTCTAAATAAGGAGTGATAAATCCAAAGATAAAATTAAATGTCAAGAACAACTTGAATTTACTTTTCTCCCACCTAATTTTTCCATTAGTTTGATAGAGTGGCACTTCAATAGACTCACACAACTTTAATATTTTGGGTAGCATGTAGTTTACCAAAGCAACGGAAAAGGAAGATAAGGAAAGAAAATAGTATTTACTCAACATTTACAACAATTAAAGCATTTGTTCTAGATTTATTATCTGGCTCCCCATCCATCCAATTTGTCTGTCTTCTAACTAGTAAATATTTTGTCCATCTTCTTATAGTATACTTTACTTTTTTCTTTTCGATTTTTTGACATCTAGTTGATTATATTTATAGATTCTGCATTTGAAAATTTGAAAGTGGGAATATCACAGCAGTACAGCATGTATCTAGAAAATTTGTTCTTTATTGTTGTGTTTTAAATAAATAAAAAAATATACATATGTATCCATTCTCAGAACACCTTTTCAAGGGAGAATTTCCTTTAAACCTTCTATAAAGATACTTGCTTATTTAGCAAGAATCAACTTTTACTTCCATCCCAGTACTATATTAGGAAAATATATACTTCTGCTTTGCAATCTACTGCTCTCCTTTCTCCTTTCAGTCCTACTTCCCATTATTTTTCAAAATTAGCAACTTGTGAAAGTTATGTTTTTTGATCAACAAAATTTTTTCATTTAAAACAAAGTGGACTCAAATTATCCAGCTAAAATTTGGTTTCTGTATCTATATAACCTGCTTTCTTTTGTAACAGTTACTAAACATCATCTACTTTAGTCTATATTGTAACAACAAATACTTCCAATAGCTCTATGTTGTAAAACAAAGGTTTATTTCTTGCTCAGTCTTTATGTTTACTGCATGTGGCCTATGACTGCTTCCTGCCATGTTCATTTTGAGATGTAGTGTGAAGAAGCAATCTCCCTCTGGGATATGCTGATTTTTTTTTTTTTTTTTTTTTTTTTTTTTCAATTTTTTTTTTTTTTTTTTTTTTTTTTTTTTAGTACAGAAAACTGTAGGAAAACCGTGTGATGGTTCTTAACCATTATGCTTAGAATTAGCACTTTTTAGTTCTGCTTTTATAGTATATTAGCTTTCCCATTGCTGGTATACAATACCTAACAGCACTTAAAGAAAGAAATGTTTAATTTGGTTCATGGTACAGGAAGTTTGGTCCATGATCTATTGCAATGATGGTGAACCTTTTAGAGACTTACTGTCCAAATTGCCACCCAAAATTCCACTTTCTCATTACAAAGAGCCAATACTGCAGTTAAACCTTAATAGTGAGGTTTTAGATAAAAAACAAAACAAAACAAAAGCAAAACAAAACTTACGCATTAACATCTTTTGTCTCAAAAACAGTAACAGGGCTTTCAATGATACAAGCAGCTCACTTTGGCACCCATGCCATCAGTTCACCATCACTGGTCTATTGGGTCCCAGCACAGTGGAAGGGTGTGGAGGTGAATAGTGTAGCAGCCATGAATCGTAGAGAAGAAAGAACTCTGGGAGAGAGAAATACCCTCTAAACATGCCTCCAGGGTTACCTCTCTTGCAGCTAGGTCCTACCCTCCCGCAGCACATTCAGCTATGAGCTCATTAGTGAGTAAATCCACTAATGAGTATAGGGGCCCATGATCCAGTCACCTTCTGAATGTCACCATTTCTGAACACATGGGATTTTGGGGATACATTTTGATCTAAAAAATAAACACTACTGACCAAAGGAAGTTAGATACTTAAGGTGAAACTAAATGGCACAGGCATCTGTTTTTTTCCAAAGAGAAATATTAAATATTTTGAAAGAAATGCAGTCTATCCCATTTACTACATGTTGGGAGAAAAAAAAAACATAATTTGAATAGATTTCAAGTATTATCATAAAGCTCACAGGCTATTGGAGGAATGAAAAAGAGGAGAACATATAAATCAATGACCACCTGTAATAATCACATAGAAATAGGTACAAACTAAATGCAAAAGAAAATAAATTAATACTTATTGTCCATAGGAGGGTAGCATTTAAATTCAATTTGAAAATGTGGACAATGGAGCATTACAAACACTTTGAAATAGTTTTCCACATAATGAAAAAATACTTGTGAATTAAGGAATGGTAAATATTAAACATTGTAACTCCTTAGGGTAAACAGATTTAATGAGGTAATGAAAAGTTGAGCATTGTAAATTTTCTTTTGTGCCATCCCAAAGATTTTGGATTTTTTCATAAAGGTGCTGGGAAGCCAGTGGTGGCTTTTAAATACCTTAAGATATGAAGATACAGTGATCACTGGATGAACTATGCCAGCAGTGTGGGTAACAGTTCAGATCAGTTGGACATAAGTTTTGAAGAATCAAGTTAGAAAAAATGCTGCAAAGGGCTAGGGAACCAATACCACTTATTAAACATTTATTAACATTTGTTAAATTATTCCATGAGTGTATTTTCTCGTTCCCTTTGCCAAAGATCAAGTAGTCAAATGTGTTTGAGGTTGTTCCTGAATCCTGTGTTCCATTCCATTGATCTTCATGTCTCTTTCAGTGGCAGTACCATGATTTTTTTTCTTTTTTTATTGCAGTACCTTTGTAATATAACTTCAACTCTGGGACTATTATGCCTCCCACTTTGATCTTTTTACCCAGGATTTGTTTTGTTCTTTTGGATCTCTTCTGATTCCATATGAATTTTATGATTGTTTTCTGTAGTTCTGTCATGATGTCTGTGGTAATTTTGACTGGGATAGCATTAAATCTGAATATCAATTTTGAAAGTATGACCATTTTGACTATACTGGTTCTTCCTTCCCAGGACAAGGAATATCTGTCTGTTTGCTGGTGTGTTCTTTTATTTCCTTTTTCAGAGTGCTGTATTGTTCACTGTCAAGGTCTTTCACTTCCTTAGGTTAGTTCCTATATATTTAGTTTTCCTTGGTGCTATTGTGAGTGGGTTCACAATAAATGGTGTTGGGAAAACTGTTTTCTATATGCAGAAGATTGAATTTAGATTCATATCTTTCACCATGTATGAAAAAAGTAGTTAATATGAATCAAAAAATTAAAAGTTAAAACAGCAACACTTAACCTCCTGGAAGA